AACAAGAAGGAATGAAATATCCGCTTCAATACAATTTGATTCTATTTTTCTATTTTATCCGAACTCAAAAACGGAGTTGTATAAACTAGATGCTTAAGGGTGCCTGACAGCTACATCCCCGGTTCCATTGCAATTATGCACTTAAATCCTAAAATTTAAGTTCTTCCAGTATTAGATAGAGATAATAACGATGGAGATGTATTCCGATCATTATTGGATTTGAACGATAAGAGAATTGTTTTACACTAGCAAACACCTTAAGCAGGTTATCATGTAAAGTAGCCATAATTGGTTTGGTTTCCACCAAAGACCCCTCCAAAAATTATGATCTTCTTAGAGTGAAACAATTTAAAACAGTTTTCTTCCACCAAGATGACCAAGCATAAAATCAAACCTCCAGTAAATTGACCCGATGGGAGGTGATTTGGCGTCAGCTTTGAGTGGACACAATCAGAGAAGCGTGTCCCTTCTGGTAGCCAAATAGCAACAAATTTAGAATTCAAGTTACATCTCGTCAATTAAGTGCCTAAGTCACAGAATTGGGGTTTTAAATAACCTTCAACTGTCTTTGAATGTATTCAATGGAAAGCTCCACTTAATCACGTGAAAAAGGAGGATCTCTGCCAACCGAAGCACCCCCTTTTCAACCAACTTCCGCTTGCCTTGTTCAACAGCGTAAAATATGAAGAGGTTTTTAAGCCAATCCTCTTGCTTAATGAATTATGACTTAGCTCATTGATTTAATTAAAAAAAGATGAAATAGCATACCTCTATTAACCTCTTTAAGACCTGTTGGTACGCAATCTATTCAGCCAACACTGCTCTTGGGTGCCTATAAGAATGAGAAGACACCAACCTTGCCTGTCCGGTAGCTCTACGGTTGAAAGAATTGGAATAATTTATACCTGCCTCTGTGAATTAAATAGATTACGCTTTTCAATCACAAATTGACAGATGATTAATCGCAGGTGGGTTAGACCAAATAAATTACTTTCAGTCAAATGTCTTATTGAAAATTGTAAATGATTTCCGACTCTTTTGCAGGTGAATACGCATTTTGAAATTTTTTCAAATGGAAGGCTTTATGATATTTATCATTAGCCCTTAAACTTTGACTTCAGCTTTCCCCATGGGTGGAGGGTATATATATAGCAGTTAACTAATAGCAGTTCATTACACCCATGGGTGGAGGGTATATATATAGCAGTTCATTAGCTGTCTTCATGCTTCCCAGTATCTTTGGGTTTCTGTCGTTTTCTTTAGGGCTGGACATCGAATCAGGTGGTTCTTCTTCATTTCCTCCTGTAGGTTACATAGAGGGCATGTGGGTTGAGTGTATACTCCCAATCTGTGAAGGTGTTTTGCCAGGCAATCGTGTTCGATACGTAGTCTAAACTCAGCAACGGCTTCGATTCTTGACCAGTCGGCTATGTCGGAGAGTGCCACTGTCCACTGTTTCCCCTTTGTTCGAGCTTTAAGTTCGTTGTACCATGAGGTCTGGAATTCTCTCCTGATTAAGGTCTTCATTGTGTGGAAAGACATCGGCCGGTCCATGCCTTGCAAAATCGTTGTCCCCTTCTTATCAAGTGTGTCGGCAAGCTCATTGCCTTTAATGCCACAGTGACCAGGAATCCATTGTAGGACCACTGTTTTGTTTTTATCTCTCAGCAGCTGGTAGAGTTTTGTACATTCGTTTATCTCATCTGTTTTGGGTGGCTCTCTGCTTCCAATTGAGTTTATTGCAGCTTTTGGGTGTCTCTCTGTTTCCAATAGAGTCTATTGCTTGAAAGTATTACTGCTTCGTATCCAGGCAACTTAATTAACCTAGTACTTTTTTAATGACCTCTATTTCTACTTCGAAAGCGGATTGTTGTATCCCGTAGAAAGAGAAGAGTTTAGAGTATACAGTTCTCACATTTTCAATGACTACATCTGCTTCCCTCCCATTGCGTTATAGGTCGTCAGTAGTGGTCGAGCTGTAACGAAAGTTCTTAGCTGAATAGTCGCATTTGGTAGGGAATCTTCACAAATCTTATCACCATTTCTGTCATTAACTCAAAACGGGCCACATTTCACATTGGTTTCATTCTACTTAAGTGCAGATGAAGATGGCCGAACTCTCCATTTCCAATCACCTCTCAACTTTTCTTTATTTTTATTTCACCGACTCGGAACAGGTGAGATACGCTAGTGAGATACGCTATTTATTTCAAATGGCAAGCGTTTTGATAGTTATCAGTAGCCCTTTTGCTGACTTCGGGCTTCACAGGGGGAAGGAACATCAAAGTAACAGAAAGTCGAGGGGTGGGGAACAGAAGAGTGATTTACAGATGTAAAGAGACAGACATGAAGGCAGAGAAAATGTAGGATGAGTACTGCACCAGAAGTCAATCGCCAGTTAATGGACTTTTATGCCGTATGAGTATACGTTGCCCAGGGTGCACCACGTGGAGGTAAGTCTATCACGAACCCCCGCTAGTGAGCATATGCATGTTAAAATATTGTGCTTTAAATTGAAACTACCACACTTTATCTACAGAGGGGTTATTTATGAACAATCGTGGAATGATAAATCATAACTCCTACCGGAATGATCTTCAGGTTAATTCAAACACAAACATTATGACTTAACAATAAAGTGCCTTTTTAAATGTTCGTTTTTCAAATAGCGGTGTCTTTGAACTCCTTCACGCGCTATTGGTCTCATTTTTCGCAGAATCGTGTCAGTACGACAATAGTACAAAGACAATACTATGTCAGAGGAGAGGTACTAAACAAAAGTCCAATTAGAATTTGTTGCAGTGCATTAATCATCTGATGATTGTTTATTTTTAAGTATGTAAACGTGAAAGCAAGAACTTTTAAGAAATAATAAAATTGGAAAGAAGATTGCTCAATGATGCGCAATTAATTGCAAACAATACTTTCAATTTTTTGAATAGTGTAAACACCTTGAGGAACTGAAAAGAAAGCGAGACGCCCTACGCAACACTGCTGATCAGACTGGAAGAACTGAAGACGTACAAACCTGGAGACGACAATCAGCTGTCCTAAGGCAAGCCATCTTACATGCAAAACGGACTTCCTTCGACAAGTTCATCTCAAAATATCAACTATCAAAGTGATAGCCAACGCACTTTCAAATTTCTGAGAAACCTCCAAAATAACAGAGAAAGACCCAAGAAAGAACCAATACGCTTAAACAGCAAATTGCTTACCACCGACACAGAAATAGCTAACTGCTTTGCGAGGTTCTATTCCCACAAGCAAAAGAAAAACCCTTTTGTCAGAAATAATAAAATTGAAAAGAAGATTGCTCAATGATGCGCAATTAATTGCAAACAATACTAAACTATTCTGCGCGAAGATCTTTCTAAAATAGAAGGCTGCATTCATGTTGAAGATAGTTCAAAATTGAACAAGACAGCGTATATCATTATTTCTCCTGAAGTTAGTTTTGATAATTGACAAGCAATCATGCTAAATTGAAGCCTTATGGAGAACACTGGATTCGCAATTACCATTTAGATGCAAATACGCAAATTCAACAAATGCAAGACATTGACTTGGTTTCAAAGCGAAAATTCAAAAATATCTAGCGAATAGTTAATCGGTCGCAAATTGATGGGAATTTTCATGAACCTGTCAAACAACTCTAACATTTACTATTTGGGGTGTGCTATAGACTTACCTCCACGTGGTGCACCCTAGGCAACATATACTCATAGGGCAGTTGACTTCTGACTTCAAACTACCCTGACCCCACTCTATGTCATATTCGACCCCTGTCACAGTACTCACCTCATCTTTTTTCTACCTGTATCTGTCTCTTCTACGTCTATGAAACACTCTTCTGCGCCCCCCCCCCCCACCTCTCGAATTTTTTTTCACTTTGATGTTCCTTCCTCTGCTAACTACCAAAATAACATTTGCGATTTTTTTCCTAAACTAACTTACCCAAAGCAGCAGTGTTAGATTAGATGCTGGGGTCGTTCCATTCCTAATTGCCCGGTTTAGTTCCTTAGGCTACGTCAGTTAAACTGCTTGGTTAAATACTGTTTAGACACCACCTTTCTCAGTTCGTGCTTCCAATTTGATTTTATTCGGTCAAATCGCGCACTCCCCTTTAAAAGGTCAATTTTGTTTTATTCTCACCAAGCCTTACAATTTTAAACCTCATTATAAGCGGCACGTACCGTGACCGCCAAAATGAATCAGAAAGACGTATACTTATATCACCAGCGAGTAAGAATGGCTGCTTTATTCAAGCACCCAATAGCGTTTCACAGAGGAGAGAGCATCATTCCAAGATTCTGCCATCTAGAACCTCAGGCAAGCAGGCTATGTGCGACTCCAGTATTCACTTTCCCGCTTTTTACATTTCAACACATGGGGTATGCGATAGACTTACCTCCTCGTGGTGCATAATGGGCAATGTATATTCATACGGCAAAAAAGTCTATTAACTGGCAGTTGACTTCTGACTTCAAACTACCATAGCCTCACTGTATGTCATAGTCGACCATTTCTACAGTATTCACCTTACCCTACTCTCGATCATTTTGTCTGTCTCTTTTACACCTGCATATCACTCTTCGGTCCACCCGATTGAACTTTGATGTTTCTCCCCTCTGTGAAGTTCGCAGTCAGCTAAGGGCTAATGATAACTATCAAAATACCTGCCATTCGAAATAAATACATTTCAACACATTGTTCAAGTCCTCTGATATATTACTAATCCACTCAGAATGCTTGAACTAGCGACAGTGATGAGATTAATTCCATGAAATCCCCTCCCATATACGACAGATTCGTCTCATTACCTTAAAATTGTTCAGTACGTATGGCAAGCAAAGTTCAATAATTTATTTAGAAAAATAGTCTTTCACCGTAGATAATGCTAACTAAGGGACTTAAAAACTGTAGCCTCAGAAACCACAAACAGTTGATTGAATTCCCATAATTCGAATTCATGTGAGACGGGAAAAAGTTAAAAGTCTTCAAGGGGGTGAATGTGAAGCGAATGGAGCATTCGATGGAAGACCCGAAAATTCACGCAAGTAGAGAAGACGTTCCCCACGTCTTCTAATTGCAAAAGGCAGTAAAGCAGATGATCGAAGGCTCACACCAACACCACCGGGCGTCCAAGCTCTCAAACTGATACCATAATCCCCTCCAGTAGAGGAGGAATTCGCTTCCTCTGCCTTTCCATAGCCAGTCATTGGCTCCCTTACGCCAGCAACAGAGACCCAACCTGAAGAGATGAAGACATCGTTACTTGTTAGATTTAAGTAGAAATTATGTTTATCAGTGCAGAAAGACCGGATTCTACCTGCTCCAGATAAGACAACATCAGCAACTGATGCTTCCAGATCGACCGGTTGAATGGGTTCAATATCAACTGGTTTCATTGAGGGAATAGAATGCGAATCAGAGTCATTTCCAGAGGTTTCTGAGTATGGGGCACCAGGACCGAGAAAAGTGGCGTACTCTGACAAATAGGAGATCACATTATCTGTGTCAACTATGTGTATTGGCAAACGCGTATGAGCAGTGAGATAAACCGGGCCGTTCGACTAAATCAGACAAAAATTTTAAATAAAGGGTGGTTTGACCTGGTCTGTATAATTAAGTCAATTTCTGTTCAGCTGGGGTGTGCGATAGACTTTCCTCCACGTGGTGCACCCTGGGCAACGTAAACTCATACGGCAAAAATGTCTATTAACTGGCAGTTGACTTTTGACTTCAAACTACTATGGCCCCACTCTATGTCATATTCCACCACTACCACAGTACTCAACTCACCTTCTTTCTACCTTCGCCTTGGAAAAACACTCTTCCGTCCCCCCCCCCCCTAGACTTTCTTTCACTTTGATGCTCCTTCCCCTCTGTGAAGCCCGAAGTCAACTAAAGGGCTTATGATAACCATCAAAATGCCTGCCATTTGATATAAATAAATATTTCTGTTCAGCTAATATACACTATTTTTATAACAAAAAAATGCTACCGAAATTCGTCTCTCTATCTCATGTTCATAGTTACAGTGTACCAACTTTCATTCCATCGTTCAAGTTTCATTCAAAAATAGTTATTTAGAGTGAAATGGAAGATGTAGAGCAAAATTTTAGAAGTTCAAAAAGACCACTATATAGTACACTTCCGAAAAAAACCTGACCTTGAAATATTCATATTCATTTTGTAGACGTAGATCAAAATGATCAAAAAAGACGATAAATACAAGGAAAAAACCAAATATGCTCACTTCTGAAAACTCAACATTGTTCAAAAGGTCGCAAAGGATAGAATTTAAAAAGCAAATCTGAGTACTTATGCGTGAATTCTAAAACACAAGCACAATTTACTTAAATGTGTCAACTGACAATATGAAACAGAGGTAATTAAAACGAAATCTGACAACCTCATCAGCAAAAGATGGTTGGCAAACATAAGATTAACAACTTTAAAGCAATTCAATGAACCTTTACTTAAAACAAACGACATTATAATCAAATAACACCATCCATCCGGCACTTGGAGCTATAGTTGATTTCACACATTCGCCGGGAAGGCTCTCAAAGACAGCCTTCAATCTGTCCATTAACTGATTGACTTTCGTAGTACTGGTACAGCCAATAGCGTTTTTCCCCACAGAGCCCAATACGTGCATAGTATTTCATCAAGTTAAGATCGTGGAGAGGGAAAGTTCAGAGGCCAAACATTGAAACTCTGAAGTCAAAAAAAGGGCATGACAACCATTTTTCACTCTCCCTTGAGGCCTACCGAACCCTGCTTCTACCATTCACATATTCCACTGTTAACTGCCCTCGTTCGTTAATCAGGGCTTAACAAATACTAAGATCGGCAATTTCGTAATAGACATCTTTTTTCAATCTCCCGTCCTCTTTTAAAACTCTGGATGAAGGTATGACACCATCCTTGTAGGGGGTGGTAGGACATATTCAAAATCAGGACTCGAAGAGTGGCCTTGGCACTATGTCCAAACCAGGCCATCTCTAATTCGGCATGTTTCACTTTTCATTTTGCCATAAGTTTTCTTAATACTTAAAAAGAACCACGTTGTTTGCACTTCTGGAGGTAGAACCACTTTGTTCTAAAGTTCCCTCCAACTTATCAAACGAATTTATTGAGCCGATTCAGCAAAAAAACTTCTAAGACCTTTTGACAGAGATCATCAGTGATAGCAAGATTCATGGTAAAGACAGAAAAATTCAATAGGTTTTGATGACAATATCAAAATTCCCCTTTCCAATAATATCTGGTATGCTAGCACCATCGGATCAAATCGTTTGTTACGTTTTCTCCTCCATTGCAATTCTTTAGTTCATGGCGGATTCTTCCACAGTGTTGAGGGAGTATAGAGCAGCACCACCCACAATCTCCTTACTTTAATAACAAGTGTGATCATCATGAAACAAGTTATTCTCTTCCATGACTCTAGTGGGTTCTAGCCATCAACCATTCTAATTGTCATCGAGTGGATGAATGGAAAAAGCTAAAGCTATTAAAAGAAGAGCAGTGCAGGTGAATATCTTCAACTCTTCTGGCAAAAAAACAACCATATATTATTTGCAAAATTTATTCCAAACACCTAGTATAAATGACAGAATGGAGAGACGTCTTTGAACATCTCCAATGAGCTAACAATGATCTTTCGGCTTACTTATATATAGTTACAAAAAATATAGCATAAATATAACCTTAATCGTAGCACTAAGCACGCGCTTTAACAAGTATGCAAGTCGGACAACCGGTTAATAAAAAAAGTATTACAAATCTCCAGTCACGAAGAGAAAAAGTTTAAAAGTCAAAACAGCCCGACATTCCCAAAACTTAACAGCTTAATTGGAAAGGAGATGAATAAAACATTTCACAAATAATGCAATTAACTCGAAAGTAGGACTATTACAAGTCTTAGAGCACAAATTACTCCAAGGGACACTCACCGCAAGAACATCTATTCTGCCCAATCTGCCTAACAGCATTGACAGACCTGGTTTAAGGACAAAAGTCCTCGGAAGGATGAAGCGTTTTTCTGGCCGATGGTAATCGCGTTTACGACCATTGGTCAGGGCCAAGTACTCAACCAATTGATCATCAGTTAGAAAGTTTAGAATCTATAATCAATAAAAATAACAAGAATGATATTCTCGAAAATGGTACATCTATTAGCCTTATTCCAGAGAATATGGACGGTACCTGTTCAGAACTTTCCAGACCAGGAGTGTCATAACACCAGGCCTTTTGATTGAAGCTTCTCGAATCAATGGTTCCAGAAACCAGTAAGCGATCTCCACTATCCAAAACAGCCTCGACGCCAATTTCCTTTCGGATTAGACTCCGCAGGCCCATATCTGCTTCTTCAATGGCATCACCACGAAAACTATAGGTGGGATGAAGGGAGAGATCCTGAAAGCTATTGCGAACCCGATCTGCTTGATCAGTGATGTTAGAGGAGGTCAGAGTGAAACTAGTTTCATCCTCTAAAGGCAATGCAACAGGGATGTAATTGGCACAACTACCATAGAGCCATCTAGTTTCCACTTAATAGTTTAAGCGTTATTAACTTATATTAAATATTATCCAATAACCAAGCATAACAAGCATTAAAACACAAAATATATTTATGATTGTGAATTCTTCATTAGTATCCATGCCTACTTTAACGAGAAGTAATACATTGCTATCAAAATCAGAAATAAGGGAACGGAAATGTCTCATTGGTAAATCATCTGATTTCGAGAACAGATTCAAAAGTAGGGATAACTAGAGGACTAGAAATAAGCACGGACTATTCAAGAAAATGATAGGTTATATGTCCATAATAAATTTATTTGAACATCTCTTGACTTCCATCCTCTACATGTATTATTAGAAAATATCCACATAGGTTTACACTGATGGAAGTTCGACTTAAGCCATCAAACTTCCGTAACTGTATTATCTGCTCAAATGAAACAATGATTTAGAAGAATCTGCATAAGGAGATTATAAAGCTCAATAAAACATTCTAGGTGGCAATAAAATAACCAAGCAATGAAGATACTTACTGACTGACTGGAATAAAATGACAATTTCTGTCTAAAACAACTTCAATCCCACTTCTCGACTTCATTTCTCAAATGAGTGATATAATAAGATAGCTTTATAGATTTGAACCGATAAAATTCGAATTTGTCATTAGACAGTAGACCGATGGAATTCTAACTTATGTCATTAGACATGCTTTACCTACTGTATTCATAACTCCGTGCTCAAATAATACAATATTTTAAAGGAATGGGAGACCTAGAAAGTTCTGGACACAATCACGATAACAAAAGCATAAAAAACCAGGGTAAGTAAGAATAGTTACCTCCAAGTAGTAAATATCCGTAAAGTTCTTTCATTTGAACTTTCGCCGCCCGTTCATGACTATGCATCTCAGTATATATGGCCTGATCGCGAAGAGCCCGTTTGACATAGGTCATCCGAGACAGAGGAAACTTTAATAAACCAGCAGTCGTGCCTGAAACAAAATGACCAATAATTCAATCTCAGCGATCAACAAGAGACTTACGAACCAATTAATTCGATGAAATACCTGGCCAATAGGAGACAGTAGCTCGATGAATAGATTCCCTGGCTTCAGATTTACAGAAATCCGAGAGAAGCAATCGATTGAACAAACTCGATTTACCAGTATTTGTAGAACCAACTATATAAACAGGATTTTCTTGAAAGTGTTAGGGAAAACAAGAATTAGATACACACCATAAATGTTAAATCTCTTTGAAAGTAGGAAGTCCAATAACTTGTTTATTCCGTAACCCGTAAGTGCACTAACCAAGGCAACATATGAGACATGACTATCATCAATTTCTGATGTTTCGGCAAATGCTTTTAGAAGGATATCGCTCCACCTTGAATGATATTTCGGTCCATCAATTGGCAGCTGGTCTACTTTATTTCCAATTAGAACAATCTTGTGTGTAGAAGGGCGTTCAAGTTTGAGGGGGACAAGGGAATGGGGAAGATTAGTCATATCAGCAACAAGGAGAATAGTTGTGTTTTCTTGACCATTCAATTCAGACAAAACCAGTTTCTCATACTCAGAAGAAGGAAGGGAATGATTCAGAGCAGACTTGTGCTGATTCACCAGCTGACAATGTACACAAATGACAGGGAGAGTGTTAGGCTGCTTTCGGCCACGTCGAGGAGTTTCGTTACGCATTAGTTCCAAAACTTCCGGTTCTGGAAGAAAACCATGGGCACCAGGTGTTCCACAATGAATATTGGCACCACAACCAGCGCAACACGTTTGCAAAACTGTGGTAGATTTTTTATCCGAGAGGTTATAAATGCGATTAAGCGATTCTTGATCAAGTAATTCCTTCTGTGAAGAAATCTCATGTTGCGTTTCGGGAGGTTTGAAATTAGTTGTGGATGAATCAACGGCAATTTGCATAGAAGTCAATTTTGGGGCATTCTGTGAGGATTGAAAAACAATAGGAAGATCGTTAAGTCGGAGTTCAAGGCGCTTGAGACGTTCTTCCTGTTTCTGATAAGCTTTGATTAACCGTTGCTCACGGGTGTATGGGCGAAGAGAAAAATATGCTTGCAACTGACAAAGGGAAGCCGTCCGTAGGGTCAGGATCCCCGATTTAATCATATCGTATTACTAACAAAATGAGGTGCTGAGATTCAATGTAAAACAGTTCAATGATGACAATAATAGCTCGCGAAATGAACCGTGGTTTGCTTTGACAAAAGCTTGTATTATTAAATAACTGTACCCCTTAAATGTATTCCCACGCGCTCTGTTGCTTAAAGACTGTTTGTAATGACTCAAGGCCAAATCGAGTTCGTGCGTTAAATAAGAGTAAGTAAAATAGCTTAATGTTATTTTCTCTACTATTTTCAATAATTTTGATAGTTAGGGTCAGTAAATATGAATTTAAATGTTGTTTGTCTTTATTTATTCGAAAATTATTAAATTCAAAAATATAACGTTATAACAATATATACATCCTTCATTTTTAAATAAGTTTAAAGTTTGCGATAAATTAAATAAATTAACAGTTATTTCATATGTTAGTAATTTCATGATCAAGAAATAATTTGAAACAACAGAAAATCTAACGACTCGCCAACTATATTATGTGCAATCATGAATTAATACTACCACTAATATTTATTCTAATTCTTGTTCTAGATTGACTATATGATATCCAACGAGCATTGTCGATTTCTACATTTGTGATTGATGTCACTTTCAAGTATACCTTGGGTAGTGTTATATTTGCATATGATGTGTTTATTCAAAATTCTCTAATGCATTTATTCATATCATAAAAGCACATATTGCTAAATGAAAAATACTTATTTAGCCATAAGAAAATTCACATCCAATAACTCCTATAGTAACACAATTAAACTAATTAAGGTTAGTATCAATCTTTTAATATCAAAGGATTTCGTACTTTGATTTCCGAATTAGTTTTCAGTCTGCATACAAATAAGATTCGTTTTGGTACAACGAAGTTACCAACAACTTAAAGAAAATCAAACTCAGTTGTGACAATAGAGTCTAAATGGACAAGAATCGCCTCCTTCTAGCATTCTAATCACCTGTAGTGAGGTTTTCCTATGTTTATTAACGAACATAAATGGCTTCATCTGTATCAAGTAAAATTCTTGTTCAGTATTTTTCTTGTATAGAACTCATTAAAACACTAAAATCATCTAAGGCTTGGCTTTTTCTCCTGAATTGTTCGATGCAACAATCCAAAACTATCAGCTTTTAACAAATTTGTAAAATGTAAAATGAATGATTTCAAACAAAAACCTCCAGACGAAATTTTTTCCCATTCACTGGAACTTGGTATCCATAATGAATCATACCGTTTACTGCTGTCCCACAGCTCACTCGAATTATTCTAGATCTTATACTCACAGGATTATTTTTCTGAAAAATGATAAAGCATTTGAGTCCTTCATACTTTCTAGTGACGCCATGTTTTATAGGAAATTCGCTTATGTCATGGTAACTCACTGGGCTGCTCAGTACAAACACCCAACGAGCATTCGCAGTGCTAGACGATTCCTGTTTATGTTTTATCTTCCAGCTCTCTTCCTGTTATAACATTTTGTCAAACGCTCGCCGACCCAAACTAATGAACATATTTGGTTAGAAGGATTTTTACCCCTCTCATAAGTACTGAAACACCTTACGAAGATAGGCAATACAGTCTAACCTGATTAAATGACTTCCATATATTACGCCTTATTTCTGTGTGCAAATTCAGACTTGGTTAGTTATTTCTTTGAAGGTAAGATCTACCAGTTTCCATAATGGGGACAGATCCCAGAACTCAGTAAACCAAGTAGGTTTATTATAGAACTATGCAAGGCAACAGAAACAGTTTAATAAACGTGCGAATTTTATGAATATTGGGGACTAAATTGTCATTCCTAGTTGGTTCTTTATTCGTTTGGGCTTCGGATCAACTTTAAGCCTTAATTGTGATTCTCTGAATGATTCGAAGTAATGATAGGACCTGTGATTGAGCTGGATTGCCAAAATTTCGAATTCCAAGATGGAGGGAGGTCACTGGCGTCCAGATGGATATCTGTTGAATCTTTTTTTGTTTGGAATGCTTTCACTTACCGAAAATAAAGATGCTTACTATAGCACACCCTGATTTGACCACCAACATGAGACGACGTCCGATACCCAATGTCTAATTGATTACAAATCTCTCATCTTCACCATTAAGATTCTATGATAAGTGTGAACTAAAGATTATTAAAATACTTCAAAGTTTCGGTAATTTGTTATGGCTGTTAATGGTGCTATCGGTTGCAGTATACTTAAGGGGAATAACCGGTGGCCACTTTTAAGATGAATTCTTGAAATGGTTCATCGAGAATGAGGTCAATGTAAGATCAGCGAACTTCAGTTTAAGCACACGTAAGAAATAAAACCGGCTGTTTGTTAATCTCACCTGGTGGTTGTGCTGTACTGATGTTTGGCACTGCAGTCTTGAGTGATAAACGCATTTCGAAAGACCGATTACTTTGGGTTACTTCCATTCATTGTCCGCTAGTGTTGAGAGAGCATGGATTTAGCTCAAATGTGATTACAACGGCCAGGACAATTAGGTGACTTAATCTTGGTGAATCGGTTTGGAGTTCTGTAGAGCGTCTAAAATACAACGACCTTTTTTAAGTCTTTATAAAATACGAAATTGATCTGACTGGTGTTTAAGTAGATGGAATGCTAAGATCGACTGTTGCATGGACAAGGCAGGCTTGGTGGCAGGTCATGCTGGGATGACTTTAGTCAGAGAAGATTGAATTATATACGTGAGGTTCATCAATTTCCCCTCTTTGATTTGAGGTTACAACTTCTTGGTATTATTAGTCGCACATACGGAAGTTGTGTAAAATTGCATGAATTCGGAGAAGCGGTGGTTTTAGATATGGTGGTTAGACTAGGAGACATTCTAGCTCCCGTTTTGGTAGAAAGAACCTTTGCTTCTATATAAATGTCCTCAACCATTCGGTAAAGGATTGAGAAATCGAAGATTTCTTGCTGTCGGCGCTGTGGAGATGAGAAATATTGTTATAACCCCATCGATCTTCAAAATAGTCACAAATTCCAGAGCTCAGTAAAAAAGCGAATTCTTTCGAGGTTGGGTTTTTCCTAACAGGCCTCTTCGTTTGGCGTATTGGAACTGCTATGTTACAGAAACTTGCTACTTTAATTTATCTTGAATAAAAAGGAAACTTTTATTCAACTTGCTCAATATCTGTAGCCCCATCTTAATGCAACTTTCCCTGGATCTGCTGAAGTACCTTCATTCCACGCTTTGTATTTCTCCTCCCGTGAGCACCCTAAACTAATCGAATTCACAGCTTTCACGGGTGCACCCTGGACAACGTATCTTCGTACGGCAAAAAAGTCTATCACTCGGCATTTGGTTTGACTTCTATTTGTTATGATTAGCTTGACAAAAGGCTATAAGAGATAGCGCCCTCGTCAGGGCGAATCACAACGTTTTCAGATCCTCCAGTGGAATTCTGGAGGGATGTCACAGGACAAAAGATCCAAGTACAGAAAATCCTACAAACCTATGCTGTAGACATTTTCACAATTATGGAAGCAAACATTTCGGATGACAAACTGAAGTACTACCAATTCCCTTCTACCAAAATACCGGCAAGTTGCAAGTGGAATTCTAACTGGAGTAACAGAAGGCCTCGCCTCACACTACGATCTAATCAAGAGTATGGGCTCGACACAAGACAAATGTGAAATAATCAGATTAAATGTTTGGAAATGTCAAAACCACTTCAAGGTATATGCAGTCTATAATCCACCCCAGAATTGTCCCAACTTTGACTTTCTGAACATCTCACACAAAACTGTAGTATTAGGAGACTTCAAAGCCCATTCCACCAGATGGGGCTACAAGGATACAAACATAGCTGGAAAGGAAATTGAAGACATGCTAAACAGCAACATTCTGGAACTTATTTACAGCCATGAGGATCCGGCTACATATTTGCACTACAATGGGACAGAAAAACTCCTGATTTACTCTTGGCTTCAAGCGACATCAGTGAGCTTACACGCCGCAAAATAATTGACGATCCTGGTTCTGATCACAAACCAGTCATTGCTAGTATTACCATCTGCAGCAAAAACGTGACAAGGAAAGTGCCAACTAAGCTATCATGGAACTTCAAGAAGGCTGACTAGNAAACTGGTGCGGCAACAATGGAATGGTAATTAACACCGCGAAATCCGCATTCCAAACTTTTTCTTTGGCCCGTCACAGCATAAACCCGCTTCTAAGGTACAAGGATACTACCCTAGAAAAACCTAATGAGTTCACACATCTCGTAATGACTTTTGACACAAAGCTAACGTGGAAAAGTCACATTGCTAAAATAGCAGAACGCGTCTCCAATAGACTGAATGTCCTGAAGCGTCTTGCTGGTAGCGTATGGGGGCTGTGCACGCTCAACTCTAAACACCACTTACAAGATGTTTATTCAGCCAATAATGTTGTATTGCCGTGAGCCACTCATTACAGCCACAGAGGTGACTCTCAAACCCCTCGAGAAGACACACAACCAAGCATTACGACTAATTACTGGAGGGATAAAATCAACACTCATTGATGCAATGTTCCTAGTTACAGGAAGCACCACAATAGGTTCCCTTATCAAAGAAAAGGCCTTGATCCTGTATGAGAAGCTACTGCGCATTCCCATGGACAAGTTCTTCAGCACCTATGAGAATAGACCAAGACATCTGAAAACGCAATCTGGTCTAACACAGAAATCCATAGAACTGAAGAAAGAATTACAAATCGATGACAAACCAAAAAGCCTCTCTCCCCATGAACCCATTAGCAGACACTGATGTAGTGTGTTGCACCCAACTGCTTGACTTTTTCAGGAAATCAAACACTCCTCCCGAGCAAATGCGCTCACTGGCCCTTGAGACAGTCAATGTCAACTATCCTGGAGATCAATGGCTCCAAGTCTTTACTGATGGGTAATACATAGAAAACAAAGCAAACGTTGGTGCAGGTGTCTATTCTGAACTCTCCTCTTTCTAAGCAGCAGCGGGATACAATAGATCCGCTTTTGAAGGAG